TAGCAGGGCTTTAAAATTCCCCCTAAACGACTTTGGCCCTTCACTTTTAACGACTTTTGCATTTTACTCTAGCAGACTTTTTAGTTTCCTTTTTCCCGCAGACTTTTGCGTTGTTCTAGCAAACTTTTTTTTGGCTACTCTAGCAGATTTTAGCATTCAATCTTGCAGACTTTTAAAATTCCCCTCTAGCAGGGCTTTAAAAAATTTACTCTAGAAGGGCTTTAAGATTCCTTTAGAAAACAATTTGCTTTTACTCCCCACAGAAATTTTTGCATTCAAATCCAAAAGACTTTAGCATTCACTCTACAGACTTTTAGCATTCCTCTTTGGGAGGGCTTTAGAATTCACTCTAGCAGACTTTAAAAATTCACCCCTTAAACGGGCTTTTGGGTTCACTCTAGAGATTTTGTCATTCATTCCAGCTGACTTTTTAAAATTTATTTGGAGACTTTGCACTTAGCAGGGTTTTTTTTATTCACTTAAACAGACTTTAGCATTTACTTAGAAAAACTTTGCCCTTCATTTCCCGAAAACTTTAGCATTCCTCTAGCCAAAATTTGCATTTTTAGAAAATTTAGCTTTTTAATTAGCAGGGCTTTAGGCCCTTCCTCCCGCAGCTTTACCCCTTTCAATTAGCAGATTTTTGCATTCACTCAGCAGAGTTTAGCCCTTCCCTAGCAGACTTTAGGATTTAATCTAGGTTTAAATTTAGGGCCCTTTACTCTAAAAAATTTTAGCCCTTCCCTCTAGCAACCCTTTTGCATTCACTCTAAAGGGGAATTTAGATTCACTCCAGGGGGACGACTTTAGCATTCACTCTAGCAGAAATTTTGATTATTAAACAAAAATTTAGCTTTTACTATAGCAGACTTTTGCATTCCCTCCGGGAGTTTAGCATTAATTAGCGACTTTTTGCATTACTTAGTAGATTTTTTGCATCCACCCCTGCAGACCTTTTGCATTCACTCCAGGGCCCCCGGGCCTTTTGCTTTACTCCAGCAGGGCGAATTTTGCTTACTCAGCAGGGGCTTTTAGCATCCACTCTAGCAGGCTTTTTTAAAACACTCTAGGGAGACTTTTGGGATTCACTCTTTGCAGACTTTGGCATTCAAATCTAGCAGACTTTTTGGGATTTTTACTCCCGCGGGTTTTTGGGATTCACTCTGGGAGTTTTGCATTCCCCTTTGCAGACTTTTTGCATCCAAACCCAGCGACTTTGGGCCCTTCACTTAAACAGACTTTTGGGTACTCTTTGCAGACTTTAGCCCTTTTCCCCTCTAGCAGACCTTTTTCCCTCCACTCTAGCAGACTTTTTGGGATTCACTCTAGCATACTTTAGCATTTCCCCTCTAGCGACTTTAGGGATCCATCTTTGCCCGACTTTTTTCATTCACTCTAGCAGGGGCTTTGGCATCCCCCTTAGCAGGGCTTTGGGATCCAAATCTAGCAGACTTTTTGGCATTCGCTCTAGGGAGACTTTAGCATCCACTCTAGCAGGGTTTAGATTTTCCCTAGCAGACTTTGGCATTCACTCTAGCAGACTTTGGCATCCACTCTAGCAGACTTTGGCATTCACTCTAGCAGACTTTAGCATCCACTCTAGCAGACTTTAGCATCCACTCTAGCAGACTTTGGCATTCACTCTAGCAGACTTTGGCATCCACTCTAGCAGACTTTGGCATTCACTCTGGCAGACATGTTGATTGTTTCCTCTTTCTAGGTGGATTCGCCTCGAAAACTTTGCACTGGACCTTCAACGAAATGCAAAATTCCTGTCCCCGATGTCTTCCTGTACAGGTCTCCCGACACCAACAATCTTCTCTTCTAAATGTATAGAAAACCTATCAACAGTGAGGATCTTTCCTACTGTTTTTTTTACATGATGACACTTGCCCTAAAATAAGTGTTTTTATTGGTTTCCTCTTGAAGGTTATTCGTATCTCAATCCATTATTTATTTAAGAGGAATATACCTACATAACTCAAGTCTTCATAGGTATTTATTCCCTATTTCTTCATCGACGACTGAAAGCTGAAGGCACAAACTACAATGTTTATAATTCGCAGAAGGGAAACATTCACAAATACTAATCTCTGGTCGGAGGAGACTCGAACCTACGAACCTTGGGACAAGGTACGCAGATTCTAAACATTGTGAAAATCTCCCGTCGGTTGATGCATGTAGGGGATGAGATGAAATAGCTAGCACCACCTGCCTGAATGCTGGCTGCCTTGGATCAAAACGTCTAGCGTTGGCTGGAAGCGAAGGTATTGGTCCAGTGTGGTACGGTGATTAGAGCACTGCATTCCTTGTCCCAAGGTTCGTAGGTTCGAGTCTCCTTCGACCAGAGATTAGCGTTTGTGATTATTTCGCCTGTTCTAAACATATATATATATATATATATATATATATATATATATATATATATATATATATATATATATATATATATATATATATATATATATATATATATATATATATATATATATATATATATATATATATATATATATAATATATATATATATATATATATACATATATATATATATGTCGTGCCGAATATGTAAAACTGGTCAATTAGCAAGAACTCATTTAAAATTAACTCCTTTTTGAAATTTTCTCTTATACGTTTAAAGACATATTTTTTTTCATTAATGTTAATGTGAAAATTTATAATTTTGCACCAAAAGAAACTTAGAAAACTTACCTAACCTTATTATAACAAGAACAATTTATTTTAGCCTAACTCAACTAAATATAATTTAGATTTGTTTACAATAATTTAATACTAAACAAACACAATCAAATATATTTTTTTCGTTAGGTTCAGAATGATTTTGGCGAAATTATTGCATACACAAATTTTCACTTGTCCTATATGGCAAGATGAGCGTTGCTATTTAAGCCAAGATCGCAAGTTCTGCCTATTTGGCACGATATATATATATATATATATATATATATATATATATATATATATATATATATATATATATTTATTTTTATTATCACACCGGCCGATTCCCACCAAGGCAGGGTGGCCCGAAAAAGAAAAACTTTCACCATCATTCACTCCATCACTGTCTTGCCAGAAGGGTGCTTTACACTACAGTTTTTAAACTGCAACATTAACACCCCTCCTTCAGAGTGCAGGCACTGTACTTCCCATCTCCAGGACTCAAGTCCGGCCTGCCGGTTTCCCTGAATCCCTTCATAAATGTTACTTTGCTCACACTCCAACAGCACGTCAAGTATTAAAAACCATTTGTCTCCATTCACTCCTATCAAACACGCTCACGCATGCCTGCTGGAAGTCCAAGCCCCTCGCACACAAAACCTCCTTTACCCCCTCCCTCCAACCCTTCCTAGGCCGACCCCTACCCCGCCTTCCTTCCACTACAGACTGATACACTCTTGAAGTCATTCTGTTTCGCTCCATTCTCTCTACATGTCCGAACCACCTCAACAACCCTTCCTCAGCCCTCTGGACAACAGTTTTGGTAATCCCGCACCTCCTCCTAACTTCCAAACTACGAATTCTCTGCATTATATTCACACCACACATTGCCCTCAGACATGACATCTCCACTGCCTCCAGCCTTTTCCTCGCTGCAACATTCATCACCCACGCTTCACACCCATATAAGAGCGTTGGTAAAACTATACTCTCATACATTCCCCTCTTTGCCTCCCCGGCCGGGATTGAACCCGCGGTCATAGAGTCTCAAAACTCCAGCCCGGGGTATGGTTTATTTGCAATCGTGTCATTACGATTTCTTGAGTCATATATATATATATATATATACATATATATATATATATATATATATATATATATATATATATATATATATATATATATATATATATATATATATATATATATATATATATATATATATATATATATGCAAAACAACCACTCTGAAAGAATAGAGAAATTCCAAGCGCTTTCGTGACTACTCACATTATCAAGTTCACTGATAATGATCTTATTGCATATATATATATATATATATATATATATATATATATATATATATATATATAATATATATATATATATATATATATATATATATATATATATATATATATATATATATATATATATGTATAATGCAAGAATCACAAAGAAACAAACAACAAGGTGAAAAAAACCACGAGGAGAGTTGAATGATAATTCTAGGTCTTTCTTGTTGCCATCAACACATCAGAAGCTTGAAATGTAGCAGAGTAGAGAAGATCCAAGAAAAATGATCAAGCATCTTTGGTTGAATGAGGCAGAAAGAATGGAAGCAACAGACAGCAGGTAGGATGTGCCCAGAGGCATACCAATACCCATAGCCATAAAGACTGAATATTCTGTTCAAACTAAGAGGAACAAGGGACAAAAACTCTGGCTTCCAACCAACTTGCCCAGTTATTGCAGATTCTAATGATGCTGAAAACTGCGTTCGATTCCTGGGCAATTTGTATCGAATAGCAGTGTTGTGATGTCCTAAAATCTAGAGGTTTGCCAGTTTGTCCCACATAGGATAAGGTGCAACCATTGCAACCAATTCTGCGGACACCACCAGCAAACTGTTGAGGAGAATTCTTTATCACAATGATTCTTAACAATATGTTAATCCTTAAAAACTACTTGTTTATTAAATATTATAAGGGCATTCAGAAGGACAGATAAATTCTCATTGTATGGGAGAACCAGCACATTTGTTGAGCTGAGGTGTTATCCCAAGCTCAGCTCTATGATTAGCTTTCCTAGCTGTGAGCAATGCAGATTCCACGAACTCTTAGGAACTCCGGGATGCACACTCGTTAAGCTATAAGAAGCACAGTAAAAACAAAATACAACTTTTAACTCTTGTCTCATGGTTGGAATTATAGTGAATGTGTGAACACACATTGGTGGCCTTCCAATATACTGTAAACTTAAATTTTCTGTCAACCCGGTACATCAACGCATCTAAAAATGGAAGTTTAAAATACACTTCATTTTTCAATGGAGATTTAATACACTGGACGAAAGGTTAGGTTTTGGTAAATGGCAGACACAAGATGTCACCTTCATATCTGAACCATTTAGCTTGACAGGGCAGGATATCTTTTAGCAGCCTAACCTCGATAAATTCCATGTAAATATTGCTCAACAGGAAGATAATAGATTACCCATGGCCATTCCTTGCCTTTGTGCATAATATTTCCCCTCAAACTCAAACTTGCAGTCAACTACACACAACTCTGTTCAATAATGGTACTTTTTTTGTTTTTTAAAAAGGCAAGGAGAACTTTTTTAATTCTTCTTCCAATTAGGATAACAAGTCGTTGACAAGGAATCACGTGAACAACATAGTGACATCAAAACTTACTAGTGTAAAATCATTAGACATGTTGACATTCTACAATTTGTCAATGAGATCAACTCCACAGGTTAGTAATTACTAAGAACATTACTGACTCACGAAATCGTAATGACACGATTGCAAACAAACCATACCACGGGTGGGGTTAGAACCCACGATCAGACGGTCTGGAGTTTCGTGACTCTCCGATCGCTGACTCTAACCCCACCCGTGGTATGGTTTCTTTACTAAGAATATTGCTCTGCTCAAATACTGACTGAGTATATATATTATCTTATCTTATCTTATCTTATCTTATCTTATCATTAAGTTTTAGCCTAAATACATATTTCAAGTCTAGTGGTCATCTTGTGATCTGCAATCTTTTGCTAGATCGCAGCCAATGTTCTGACCACCCCTGCTCTAGGTGATGCAACATTCCTAGGATTATCTAACTGCACTCACCTATTGTGCTTGCAGAGGTCGAGTTCACTCTTCCTGCTCCATGAGCTTATCGTACCTCTTCTTAAAACTATGTATGGATCCTGCCTCCACTACTTCATTTCCCAGACTGTTCCACTTCCTGACAACTCTGTGACTAAAGAAATACTTCCTAACATCCCAGAGATTCATCTAAGTTGAACTCCAGGAGGCAGTTACTGGACGAGGCCTGCAGCCTGTCCAGATCCCTTTGTAATTCTGCCTGATCCTCATTCGATTAAATTCTTCTCATCAACTTCACATTATCTGCAAGCATGGACACTTCTGAGTGTATTCATTCTGTCAGGTCATTTACATATACCAGAAACAGCAACGGTACTAGGACTGACCCCTGAGGAACCCCGCTCGTCACAGGTGCCCATTTTGACACCTTGTTGCATACCTTGACTTGCTGTTGTCTTCCTGACAGGTATTCCCTGATCCATTGCAGTACCTTCCTTGTTATACCTGCCTGGTCCTCCAGCTTTTGCATTTATCTCTTGTGCAGAACTGTGTCAAAAGCCTTCTTACAGTCGAAGAAAATGCAATCTACCCACCTTTCTCTCTCTTGTCTTACTGCTGTCACCCTGTCATAAAACTCCAGTAGGTGTATGACACAGGATTTCCCGTCCCTGAAACCATGCTAGTTAACATTCAAGGTGCTCCACCACTCTTCTTCTGATAACCTTCTCCATGACTTTTCATTCTATACATGTCAATGACACTGGTCTGTAGTTTAATGCTTCATGTCTGCCTCCTGTTTTAAAAACAGGGACTACATTTGTTGTCTTCCATACCTCAGGTAGTCGTCCTGTTTCGATAAATATGTTGAAGATTGTTAACAGTTGTACACATAGCACCTCTGCTCCCTCTCTCAGGACCCATGGAGAGATGTTATTCGGCCCCATCACCTTTGAGGTATCAAGCTCATTTAGAAGCCTCTTCACTTATTCTTCGGTTGTATGCATTGTGTCCAACACTTGATGGTGTACCTCAACTCTCCATCTTTCTGGAGCCCCTTCTGTCTCCTCTGTGAACACTTCTTTGAATCTCTTGTTGAGCTCTTCACATACTTCACGGTTATTTCTTGTGATCTATCCTTCCTTCCTCAACCTGATTACCTGGTCCTTGACTGTTGTTTTTCCTCCTGATGTGGCTGTACAACAGGTTCGGGTTACATTTGGATATCGCTTCTATGTTATTTTCGTATTATCTTTGGGCCTCCCTTCTTACCTGTGCAAATTCATTTCTGGCTCTACGATTGCTCTCCTTATTTTCCTGGGTCCTTTATCTTCTATACTTCTTCCATTCTCTAGCACACATGGTTTTGGCCTCTCTACACCTTTGGGTTAATCAAAGGCTCATCCTGGCTTTCTCGTTATTTCTGTTACCTTAGGGTAAAACCCTCTCCTCAGATTCCTTGTATATTGTTGTCACATATTTCATCATTTCATTTACGAAGTTCCCTGCCAGGTCTCTGTCCCTCTGAACCTCGTGCAGGAAATTCTTCATGTCTGTGTAGTCCCCTCTCTTGTAGTTTTGCTTCATTCGTTTTGCCCTTCCTGCTTCCCTCTCCACTTGTTACTCTACTATGCATTCGAAGCTCAGAATCACGTGTCACTGGCCCCGAGGTGTCCTTCATATATGTGTGTGTGTGTGTGTGTGTGTG